ACTCTAAGAAATGGCAAAGAGCTCTTTCACTTATCTGTGAAAAGTAGCATTGCAATAGTTGCCACCTAGTGATATTTATTTAAAAAAAAACTGCTGTCTCGATAGATAGTCATAGCAGAAACGGGTACATGAGTTAAACTGAAAAACAATCATATAATGCATATTAAAAGTACAATAATATGTAGTTGGGCAATTCTTTCACAAGCTGTTCATGCGGTGTTTCTCGCAAGGAACCATTCAGGCAGTTCCAAATGTCGACAACGCTTGGAAAAAAAGAACATGAAAAAGAATATACAAGTGGCTAAAAAGAAACAACATTAAGTGGGTGTGATAGACGCATGGCAAGCCTAGTGAAATGGCAAAAAAATAGGAGCTTGAATGAAACTGTGGCCATGTACTATCTTATGGAGCAAAGTGATTTGCTCAAGCATGTGTCATGGACGAGCCAGTGGCTCTAACGATAACGCACATGCGTGAGATTATGGAGAACATTTGCGATCATATCAACGAGAAATGAACCTTATTGCTTTTTTCATGGCCCCAAACTTATTTATGTCACATGCAGTGTACGGTGAGCATACCACTGTACATACTCTAGTAATGGCCTGAGTAGAGATATATAAACGGTTAATGTGCAGTCCCTTGTTGAGTGCTTGAGGGTTTGTTTCAGGTATCCCAACTTCCTAAGTGCCCTAGTGCAAATGGTTTTAATGCCAAGATACTTGAAGGTATTCACATGTAATTGAGGTAGTGCCCATTGTAACTATAGCTGAAACCTAGTGGCTGCTTTTTATTAGTAAATATCATTTGTACAGTCTCTTGGTAATTGATACTCACTTGCCACACAGCCACAAAAGGATGCAAATACATAACAAATATCTTGATGCTGTTTATTGGTTACACTGGTGTAACTTAACCCTTTCAGACCCCACTTATGAAGAGCTGTCTGTAAATGTGTCAAATCACTACAGTGTTACTTCAAAGCACTCAGTATTTTGTTGCCACAAGAATAATCAGATAATCATTAAAATTGTGTGTAATAGTAGCTTGTTCTAATTACGTTGCAATTAAATATCTATTTATCCTGAAGCCACTGATGCTTACTTTTGGCTTAAACAGAATCAAATCTCGGGTAGGAGTACAGTGCAAATTCATTTTTGGTTATGTTAATCTTGAGCAAACAAAAATACTGCTTTTCCCAATGCTTGCAAGAATGGCACGTCGAATGCGGTAGTGCCTTCAGAAAAGTGGTCATATGTATCAGTACGCTGCAATATAAAGTTAAATGAAAACAAATTATGTAGATGCCTCTACTTGATTCAATTAACAAAAACAAGTGGTGTACACAATTGTGTACATAGCGTCTCAAAGGGTTAGCACATACACAGTCGTCGGCATACAATCCCAGTTTCACTGATGAGTCCCAAAGGACCTGTGTGACATTGTTAATGTAAATAATGAACAATAGGGGCCCAAGGAACAAGCCCTGCTGTACGCCAGAAGCAAGCGTGGCCGATGACGAGTGTGCATGAGTGAAAGTAAGAAATTGGTCTTTAAACGTAACCAATCACCTATCCAGCTAAGTATTTTATTGTCAGTAATGATCTTGCCGAGTCTAATAAGTTTTCTGTGGCACACCATATCAAATACTTTACTATACTCTACGAGTATGGCATAAACATGACCTCATTTATTCGGGGTCGATACAATGTCGTGAATAAATTCAATGAGTTGAGTAGTTGCAGAAAAGCCAGAGCAAAAACCATGCCGCTTTTGCGAGAGTATATTATCAGAGCGGTACTGATTTATGAACCAATCATGGAAAAGACCGGCTACCGTACCGTATATTACACTACTGCGCACAAATGTTGAGGGGCAAAACATTATTCTAAATATCACTTCGCGTCGGATATTTTCTAAGCCGTGCGGTTATATGTGAATAATTGTATGTCATATATGTATTTGCTTTTTCTTGCTTGTTACTTAGGTATATGGTACATATTTTATTTCGTCTGTTTGTGAAAGTCATTTTACAAGCTCTTATGTACCTGGAAATCTGTATGGTTTCATCATGCTACATATTTTTTAAGATTGTGTTCGGAGAAGTTGTGTACTGTTCGCAAAAAAGCATGTCTTCTATGTAAAAAAAAGAAATTTTTGTCCTGTAGATTTGCAGAACACATGTCATTATTATCTTTGTTTTTCTTTTTCGATTGATAATTTGTATATCGATGCATTACAGTTTTTGTGTGCATGTGTTGCCTGCTGCCAAATTCTGTAGGGGCAGGGGCTTTCGCCAAGCTGCTATGATAGCGGCTTTTTTGCTCCTTTCCTAGCGTTTGTTTCAAATGAATGCTGAAAACAAAGAATCAGAATAATATGCTTATGAATTATGTGCTCTAGGAGATTACAACAGATACCGGTTAAAGAAATAGGCCTGTTGTTGCAAATGAGTTGCTTATTACTTGATTTGAACTCCGAAATGATGTTAATGATTTTTCAAACAGCTGGCACAGTAAATGTCTTTAACAATTTACAAATATTATGGTTAAATAACGAGGATTCCATTCTGCATAATGCTTGAAGAACATATTTGGTACACCATCCAATCTGGCACCTTTAGTAATGTCGATCCTCAAGTGAAAGTTATAACTGCCAGTGCAACTAATTTCAAGTCCGCTGCATGGTGAAAGAAAAGGCTGAAACTGCAGTTTTCTTGGGTACAGCAAGAAAGAAATGGATAAGTACGACACTTTTAACTGGATGAATAGGTGGCACGGTTAGGTTATATGGAAAACGACCAGATTCTGCTGCAACGGACGATTTTCAAAGTTTATCACGTGAGCTTTCAGTCTCACGTGACACAAATGAAAGATTTTCTGCATGCTCAGAGCACTTAGTTTCAATATAAACTAGATCGGAGCCCTCCATTTCGATTATTAATATTCAAAACTAGTGTTTTGTGGGGATTTTTTGGGGGGAAACACTACAGTGTTTTCTATCTTCATTCAAATTCAGTTTTATTCAGCATTTCCGTTACAAAATTGCAAAAATAAAACGCAAGGATGGGAGCAAAAAGCTGCTATATTAGCAGCTTGACTGGCCCATTCCCCCAGAATGAAGATATAATATGGAAGTGGGTTTTCTGGTAATAAGGACAGCCACAGTGAGTGGTATAGCCTTTGGATGCCTAGCGTCAGGTAGGCGATATTTGTCCCAAATCCTGCATGGATGGTTTCGTTTGTCCGACACATTTGGTTTTACATACAGGCGCTCTCAGCAAAGATCCACGAAAGATTGACTACATGCCGTTGACGTTTTGGCATGATGAAAATGGAACTGAGGCGTCAAGACAGAAGCACAAAAGGCATTTGAATGTGTAGTTTTTCATCAGCACTACCACAATCACTATACATGCATCTACGGCAAGCATATGGCGTTTACGCGAAAATGCACGGCCGTCGCGCAATGTGCAGCCAGCTCCGACCTCGATATTGAAAAATGCGCGACACAGCAGCCAACAGCCTCACGACATCAGGCCAGCAGTGACACTGCGGAATCCATGGACACAGCATTTGTCAATGACAGAAACTGCAGCGATGTATGCGCAATCAGTCAGTAGTTCTGACAGCAATGACCTCGCACCAGTGGGAGAAAATGATGTCAGTAGCGTTATCTAGACAAGAAAATACTATCCTACTTATAGAACAGCTTTGCAATCTGTTGCTGGTGATTTCAAGTGTTTTTCCAAGCATTTCTTTCTTAGTAGTCAATTTAATCTTACCTGATCCCGTCTACTTCGAGCAGCACAAATAACTACCCATAACAAGCACGACACCTGACTATGAAGTGAGGGTCGTCTCGGCAAGTTTGTTTACCAACACGATGCAATACGTAAATGCCAACCAAGCTCAACTTTATTAAAAAAGTTACCGCCGACATATTTCACTTTTTAATGCTTTGTCAGCGCTGCATTATAGTCAAGGCCATCACAAATGAATGATTGAACAGTTTTCTAAGCCGTTGCCACTGAACGTGTAGCTTCAGTAATATAGGATACCCCTTTCACACGGTGAACATTTATAGAAGCTGCGGTGCAACTATGAATGAAAAAACAGCTGAGCACCCCCAAATATGGAAACACATAAATATAAGCACGTTAGTGGGCAACCTGCATTAATATACAAGTATAAAATAGTTCAAAGACGTGATAGCCAAGACCATGCCACTTATTATTCCGAAGAAAAGCAGAATCGTGATAGCACGTACAGTCTGTTGTTTGCCATTTGAAATGAATATATTATTTCACAATGACAGCACATGCTTTCCTTTCGTGGTAAGTCGTAGATGTGGCTATGCTAACGTGCTCTGGAAATTCATAGCATACACATTGGGTTGCCATGAAGAGAGAGAGCACACCGATACCCAAGGAGGAACGCAGCAGACAGACGGAGAGCCAGTGAACCGGAAGCCAGTGCAGACTTCGTGCATCCCATAAGCCTTTGCGAGTTTACACCTCACCTATAAAACCACCTTTCAGCTCAGTCGCCAACTACTCTAGACCATTAATCTTATCAAGTTGTCTTGCATAACATTGTATAATCTAAATGTATTAATCACTCTCCTCTGTACAATGTTTGGCATTGAGAGTATAATTTAAATACACAATTTATGTGTAGACACTTTGGTGATGCAGTCAAATTAAAATTTCATGCTTGCCCTTGTTTGGAGGGGCATACAAAAAAATTGAGCGAATTAGTGACTTGTTTTAAGCAGAAAATTTTTTATATTGAACAAACGCTACGTCCTCAGACGTCAGCTTCTAAGTACGCTTAGCTGTACCACGTGCTTTATAGGGGCAAAGAACAGAAGCAGTGGTCATGTGTCTGGTAAGATCATATGCCTCTTTTTGTATTTCCACAGTTTGACAAGCATTTATCGGCTTTCTGCAGTGCCACCGCTTCACCAAGTTTTAAATGGTTGTAATTAAAGTACATAAACACTGGGGTCAAACTTTTTTTTTATTATTTGCAGCTCCTCTAAACATGACTTGCACAGATCATGTCTTGGAGCTGTCTGCTGCTTCAGTTTCTCACACTTGGATTTTCAGCAAAGGTGAACATTGCTCTGACGACAGCGTTGATTGAGTGCACAGATTCCGCAGGTCGTCCTTTGGCCACATCCCTTGGAGGCTTTGCATAACAAGCATTGTGAATGCTGAGCATATCGCTTTCTCTTCATACTATACATAGAGAGTCTGTAAAAAAACAAAAAAAAAAAAGAGCAATAAATAACCAAAAAGACGGTGCCACCTTACAAATATTAGGCACCACTCTCCAAGACAATATATTTCAAATTCAAGACAACAGAAACAAAGCGATTGGGGACAGAGTAATTTCTTGAAGGGATAAAAAAAAACTAGTTAAAAAGCCATTTTCCACTCGCAAAAAAAGGGGGAAAAAGAAAATGTTTAACCCTATAATTGTGAAAAACGTGTAGCGCATGACTAAGACGTGGATTAAGAAAGACAACAGGACAATGCATGGGACAGCACATCGTCCAGTTGTCTTTCCGGTCTTTTTTGTACGCCGTGTCTTTCTGGTCTTTTTTTTACAGCAGTCCGGCAGCAGGACGAAAGTGGCCACGAAGCTAGAATCCCCGATACGAAGTCGAGTGGTGCATTTACCCGTGGGAGTCATCGGCTGACTACCAGCACTGCCTATATGCGGCCATGTTCGCGGTGTCTCTCCAAAGCAGTCGGCGAGCTCTTGTCACATGATTGAGAAGTCTGCGCCAGTGTCGACCAGTGCTGTAATGCAATGTCCGTCAATGAGTGCGCCAAGATCGGCACGTACAACTTCATCGGCATTAGTATTCGTCGCCGTATTCGTCATATCTTTTTGCGATGATAGGGGGAACTTTTCGGTGTCTCCACGTTTTGCAACTTTGCCCTCGGAGGTCGTAGCGATTAATTTCCCCGGCGCGGGCTAGGCGAACGGCCTCTGGCGACGTCTGAATAGCAGTCACGGTGACGCGCAGATGATGGAGATCGCCAGCAACGTGGCAGAGTTGCTTGACCAGTTGACAGTTGATCAGCATCGTGGGCGCGACGGTCTTCAGAGTGGGAAGAAGCGGGACGAGAAAAGTTCGATTGATTGACTGATATGTAGGGTTCAACATCCCGAAACCACCATATGATTATGAGAGACGCCTTAGTGGAGGGCTCCGGAAATTTCGACCACCTGGGGTTCTTTATCGTGCACCCAAATCTGAGCACACGGGCCTACAACATTTCCGCCTCCATCCGAAATGCAGCCACAGCAGCCGGGATTCGATCCTGCGACTTGCGGGTCAGCAGCCGAGTACATCAGTCACTAGACCACCGCGGTAGGGCAACGAGACAAGTTCTTGAACCCGCAATCGCCGTGACGGCAATAGTGGGCAATGTGACCTGATTCTCCGCAGCGGAAGCAAATAAGTCGACGGTCGGCCATGCGCCATAAGTCAGTTCGGCGAACTGGTAGTTGTCTCATAGAATCCCATTGCCACCAAGGTACGGTAGCGGGTCGTGGCTGGAAGGGCGTCGCCACAAATAATGGTGGAGGACGACGGTCCACATCAGCGTAGCTTGCTGGATGTGGCTCAGGACTTGGCGCGGGTGGTGTAACGGCTTGCCTCAACTGGCAGATGATTTCGGCAACAGATGCGACAGTCGGTTGGGTAGGGGGAATGCAGAGGGCCCGAAGTTTCTCACGCAGTATTTCCCTAATAATTTGTTGCAGGGAACTTTTGCAGACGGCAGTGTTCTGAGCAGCAGCACTTACTACCGTGTGGTTCGGCAGGCCGTCAAAGTGTCGGCATCGTTGTTGCAATGCGCGCTTGATGACAGTCGCCTCTCTTATGAATTCATCTACCGTTGTAGATTGATTTCATATGAAGCCCGCAAACACTGGTTCCTTAACACCCTGCAGTAGGTGACGCACCTTCTTCGCCTCGGGCATGTCGAGGTCAGCTCGTCGAAACAGACGGATCATACCCTCTACGTACATGGCGGCTGTTTCGTTGGGGTTTTGCACGCGGGCCTCAATCAGCTGCTGTGCGCGATCTCGTCGGTCGGAATTCAAAAATGTGGTGAGGATCTTTCGACGAAAATCTTCTCAAGATTGGAAAGTAGCCTCGCGGTTCTCGTACCACGTGCGATAACATTCTTCCAGTGCGAAATATGCACGGCCAAGTTTGTGCTGTTCGCTCCAGTGGTTGGATACAGCGACCCGTTCAAACAGTTCGAGCCAGTCCTTGTACTCACTCCCACGGAAAACTTCATTTCATTCATTCATTCACTGTTTATTCAGACAAAAACAATGATTGCCTAGGTTGAAGGGACTAAAGGCAGATTACCTCTGCCTGACTAAGGTCCCTCCACCCATACATTTGCTCAGGTGAAGTGGAACAAAGGATACAAATTTCATTCTGCTTTTGAATGAGGGGACACAAAATTCAAATTCAACAAGTATAACAGATGTCGGCACATACGTTTTAAAATAACACATTACAGTCATCACCAATTACAGTCATCATGCGAGGATGTTCAAGAGTCACTTGCGAGGGAAGAGTGGTCTGCGATGGAAGGATAACCGTGGATGTTGTAGGAGCTGCCATGCTGAAAAGAGGCGGAACAGGTACCTGTTCCGCCTCTAGTAGGCGCCGACTGAATTGGTGTACCGGAGTCATGACGAGGGGCTGAGTCTCTGGACTAGGCGAACGGGTCCGAGGAAGACTGTCCTGCATCCGGTTGTAGGCTCCAGCACCTCCACCAGTCTCACGACCTCAAAACAGAAGTCTTGTCGCAGAGATTGAGACACGAGAAGCAGGTCGGTCTGTTTAATAGAACGCGCGAGTTCTTCTTTATCGTTCATTTCACAGTCCTTCACGGCACATGCACAACTGCCATCGTCTTTCTTTATTGATTGATTTGATTGATATGTGGGGTTTAACGTCCCAAAACCACCATATGATTATGAGAGACGCCGTAGTGGAGGGGTCTGGAAATTTAGACCACCTGGGGTTCTTTAACGTGCACCCAAATCTGAGCACACGGGCCTCCTTCATTGCCGCCTCCATCGGAAATGCAGCCGCCGCAGCCGGGATTCGAACCCGCGACCTGCGGGTCAGCAGCCGAGTACCTTAGCCACTAGACCACCGCGGTGGGGCGCTATCGTCTTTCTTGAACAAGCACGTGACAATATCAAACGTTGTGCGCGACCGCGGCGCAGGCTGCAGTAATCGCCCGGTAATCTAGCAGCGCTTGTCTACCAGCCATGACTTATCTTGCTTGGCCATAGATGACGCCAAAAGCGAACGTAATTTCTTCACCTCTCGGTTGACGGTGCTGTAGGCAGCCGCCGCAAAGCGCAGGCCACGCGTTCTCGTGTTCCCTTTCATAAGGGACAACAGTTATCTTGCTTGGCCTTAGATGACGCCAAAAGCGAACGTAATTTCTTCACCTCTTGGTTGACGGTGCTGTAGGCAGCAGCCGCGGAGCACAGGCCACGCGTTTGCGTGTTGCCTTTCATAAAGGACAACAGTGTACGTGTGCTACAGAGACCAAAGGTGTTTGTGCAATACCTCTAAACGCACATGAAGCAATTATTTTTTTTCGATAAGAACTAATCGCAGTTCAGTTCCGCAAAAGCGGGGAGTATACATGTTTCAACCTAAGCATTTGGAGTCAGTACAATTACACCAGCGTTACTCTCTCAATCACAAATAGCCAATGCCGAAACACAATTTAATTTCGTCGTTCCAGCATATTAGCATAATGAGAGGATGACTCGGGCCAAGTGACACAACTTTTCACGATGCTATAACAGGTGCCAAAAAATTCTTGATACGTACTTGTATTTCTGGCTATAACATATGGGATAGCGACCGACAAGGTAGAGTAAAACTACAAATAATTGAGACAACTGCTTACCTGTTGTTGCAAGGCAGCGCATCGCAGCCTGCGACGTCTGTCGATCGAGCTGTCACGACGACGTTGACAAAACCGTTACGAGTCACCGGTTCGTGTACTGCGTTGTCCACACGAAGCTGCACGACTCCCGAAGACAAAGCACGATGAATGGTACTTCACGAACGTTCAATTAAGGCGCCAGCTTAAGAATAGTGGCTATGGTTAGATGAAGCTTCGAAGAGACGCCTAATTTCTGCAGTCCTTGAGGATTCGAATGAGCCTCGCCGGGTCACACTACCATGGCCGGGTTCTTCACAGAACACCTACGAGTTCATTGCGCCGGCGAAGCGCAGAGAACTGGTAGGTGTTCTGAGGCGGCGTGTAGGTGTTCTTTGGCGGCGTTTCAAATAGCTCCGGATGGATGGATGGATGGATGGATGGATGAATGTGGCTGTACCCTTTAAATCGAGCGGCGGCTAACGCCCAATAGCCGTAATACTTAGTGAACTAACCCTTACATTTGTCTTTTTTTTTTTCATTAAATATTGAGGTTGAGGATTCGTACTTTGCAGTGAAGGGTTTAATTTTCACTCGTGCCTTGACTTTAGCCACCAATCAGATAACCTCCTTCTAGTTAAGTCTACCTGCTTAAAGTCTATTTTGCCCTCCCTGTCCCTAAACCCCAGTGCTTTGAAAAACTCTGCGCCATCATCCTGAACTATAGGGTGAAGCCCTTTACAGAACATTATCAAGTGTTCAGCGGTTTCTTCTTCCTCTCCACACACACTGCATACAGTGTCTACCCCTTCGCATTCGGCCTGATATGTCTTGGTTCGCAATACTCCCGTCCTGGCCTGAAACAGTAGAGAACTACCCCGAGTATTATCATAGATCCTTCCCTTGGCAATTTCCTGCTTAAAAGTTCGATAGATCTCTAGTGCGGACTTCTTCATCATGCCAATTCTCCACATGTCAGTCTCCGTTTTCTTCACTTTCTTCTTAACCGATAGTTTTTTTGTTTGTTTTTTTGTTTGCCCACCTGCTGTTTTTCAAGTATTTACCAGTCAATTTCCTGGTTCGCTTCCTCCATTTTGTATCGACATTCTTCATGTACAAGTAGCTGAAAACCTTCCTAGCCCAACGCTCCTCCCCCATTTCTTTCAATCGCTTCTCAAATTTTTGAGGCCAGGAGTCCGGCCCACGAGGGGCTAGTTCGTTAAACGTCCACCACGTGCCGCATGAAGTTGAACCCTCCCCCTCGTTCCCTCTTTTCTCCTCCCACCACGACGCTGAGGAGTTCCCTACGGAAGTGGCCTCGCTCTTCAACCTGTTCTCGCCCGCCCCTCATTGCGGGAACCAAAGAATAGCGACCCGCTGTCAGTGCATTCTTACTCACGCCGTTTAATAGCCGGCCTGTGTAGAGTACGCGAACAGGTTCCAAACCGGCCATGAACAATTTTTCAGACTGAGGACTTCTTTTTTCCCTTGCCTTGGTTGAATTCGAGTCCTCACAGTTTTGATATAGTCATAGATGATTTATATACGAAGAAGCTACGACCAACTGCATTACATTCTTTAGTTTTTTTTTCTCGTCGTAGGTAATCTATTGTAATCATAATATCAGGTTCAATACTTAATTTGTGGCTAAGCCATATTACTTTCCGACCCAAACTTTCTGTGGGGTAGAACAAAGTTTTTAATCTTGTTTTTTAGCTACTAGGCTATTGAAAAGCACGCAAAAAATTAAGAAAGATGTAAGTAGAACGATTTTCACAGGAGAAGCATGTCCAGTATATTGGACACTGGGATTAATTTGTTGAACAAATAGGTACACACATTCTGCTATTCTCTTAGATAGAGCGCTGCTTTTGGCCCTGTTAGGTTAATAGTCTTATAAAACACAAGCGGGGTTCGTTTTGTCCCGAGAAAAAGTTCATCCTCTTCGCTGATCCTCTTCATGCTTCATGCTGTTGATAGATTCTCAGCATGCCCCAGTTTTATTTTTCTATGACTGGGTTTGAAGAGTGTCACGTCAAGCCACCTCTTGTTTTCTTTTTTTCCTTCTAAATTGAGCACGGTGTGCACCGATTGCATCTTGGTGTGAGTGTACTGGACATAGGTAATTCTCACATTGCCAGCAAAGTTTTTATTAGAAAAACTACATTTTTTGCAACAATGCATCGAAAAGACATGACAGAACTCGTACAATTTAAATGAATTCAATGGTGCAAAGATATGTCCTGAAATACTTTTGTATACTTGACCGCATCATGCGCACGCAGTTTCGCGTAGATTACGCAATTACTTCTAGTGCCCGATAAATAGGTGGAGCTGAAGGGGGAACTACACCTAAAAACATCTTACTCGACTCTTACAGAAGCTACCATAATGGTTTTAGTTCTGACTGTAGCTCTGCTTACTTTTATTCATCACTTTTACCGTCATGTTTTTGTCAGCGACTAAGTATATGTACCATCCTGCTGAAATCACCAAATGGTGATTGCAGTAACTGTAAATAAATAGTAATAATATATAATGTGTTTAATACATTAGTCAAGGGGCAGGAAAGGAATGTGCTTGTTAACTACATAGTAAACGGTCCTTGATTGTACTGTTCGGTTATCCTTTGCGGAAGCTCTTTCGCTTTATTATTTCTTTGTAGAGCTTATTCTTTGCGTCAATGTGCGCAAGGAGCTACGTATAGTTCCATTGAGAAAAGAGCACCAGATGCTCGGGACGGACAGCACAGTTACAGTGTAAGCTGGAGGAGCAGCCTTTGTAGACCTTTTTGTAATTTAGTGTTAACATCTCATTTGCTGGCATCTCATTCCAGGTGTCTCATTTTATAAGGTACTCAGCATAGTTACGTAAAATGTACTTCAAACAATGCCTGCTTCAAGGGACAGCGGGTGCCTGATTGTTTTTGCACTACTACCCGACAACATTTCATTAACGAGCTTCGCAACTTCAGATTATGCAGCATCGTGTGTTTAACAAAAGATTTGCTACGCCTAGAAATATTGTGTCTGTACGTTTTGGCTCATTTAAATCGCCTTGATATATTACAAATAGTAATAGGTAAATTATTTATGTAACACTTCATCTGGCGAGATTTCATTGCGACATGTGAAAGGAAATTTCATAGCGTTATTGCGCACAATACAAGTGCTTTATGCAACAGATAGTCGAATGTGCAACGATCTCCGCATTGTTGATATATGTGTTGAAGGCCTGTGCACCAATAAAAGAGCTATCGAATGGGGTCCTTGGCGTACGATGTAAGAGCTAACATGCTTAACTTAAAAGCAATCTTAAACCAACACTGTTTATTTAGGTGTACATCTCAAGTACGTAGTTCTTCCTCTCGCCCCCGGATGTTGTCGGAATTCAGAGCTTGATTTTGCGATAGAAGAGTGAATGCACCATAATTATTGCCTATGTTAGATTGGAAAATATTGATGATAATCCACCTTTTCACTCAATGGTCTCGCTGATGTATTAGTAAACATGGCAATGGCAGGAACACTAATCATGCTGTAGCCAAGAAAAAAAAAGTGATGCAGAACATTTTTTATTAGTCCATAAAACAGGTATCTATTGATAATATTCCATTAGTTGCTGACGTGAGGTCATTACTGGCAGCAATATGCTTTGATTTTCCTTCCAGGAAGAAAGAAAACTGATGTTCACGTTTGGTGCCATCGTATACAGTGTTACAGCTTCGATCCTCCCACAGTTTAGACAAGAGCGTAGGATGAAAATTTAGGTGAATTACATGCTTGATACATGTAGCATTTTATTTTCAACGGCAGAGTGTTTAAGCTTCATTTCCAGCCTGGCCGACGGCCTCTCCGAACTTGGAACACATGTGTCAGCTAAGCGGAAACAAAGCATTGAGATATATATATAACGAGTCAATAGACTGATGTAGCAAGAAGGGAGAAAGAAAACTGAGGAAGAGGTAAAGTAAATGAAAGGAATTGGGGTAGGCCACCAGCATCGTTGCTTCCACAGTCTTCTCGTGTGCGCCAGTAAAATCTGCTTTTTTTTTCTTTAGCTCAGCAAAAATGATCGCTTATATATTAATACTATACAATTCGCATTTCTTCGCACGGTGCTAAAGCGCCCGAAGTGGTCTAGTTTGTAAATGTTACAAAGGGAAGCGACAATAAAATGCATCATGGAACTAGAATAGCATTCTGTTGATAAGCCTGCCTTTTTTTTTAAACTGTTCACCGTATAGGTAGGTGAACACACTAAATGCTCATATTAAGATATTGATCACAGATGATAGGGTTACATTCTTGGTGCTGAGGTGTGCGTGACGAACTACTGGAGGAACAGCTGAGTTTTAGTGCCGAAAAGCAACACAGTAACACAATATTTACCTACGGCATTTTTTTTTTCAATTATGGTATACAACAGCAAAATTTTTTTTTCAGTTAGCTTGCCTTTATTAATACATCTCAGCAACCTGGTTTTACATTTATCAACGAAAAAGTTCACTCTTTACACTTTTGTGACGCCCCCTCGAGAGGTACAAATTGACAAAAATATTACCCAGCGTTGTGCATTTAGATAGCTCTTGTTTTCTTTCCGTTTTTTGCCTGCGTTTTTGTTATTATAAGCAGGCGTCACCATAGGTAGAAAACGATCACTGTACCGTGTAGAGGGACCCGTGAAAGACACACTACGAGACAACCTTCCCTCGCTGGTCACCCCACTGGCAGAAAAATAGTTGAAGCCTGCCAAGCGCATTGTCATCCCATATGTGCCGGGCGCCAGTGAAGAGCTCTCTGCGATTCTCGGAAAATCAGGGGTTGACGTGGTTCGCAAGCCTGCTTCGATGCTCACCCGCTTGCTACCACGGCCGAAGGAAGAAGCAACACCAGCGAGTAGTCTGCAAGTTGCCGTGTTCAGAGTGTCCAGCCAGCTACGTGGGCAAAAGCGAATGTTTCCATTCAGAAAGCCCGTGGAACGGCCGAAAGGCTTGGACTGGCGTTCCTGACGAGGGAGTTAGCCGCTGAGCGCTAACGTGCGCCTTGCCGGGCCGCAATAAACTTCCGCGCCCACTCGTTAAGATTACGCCAACTTAAGAACGACGTCAGGAAGGCAGTAGTGCAACGCGGCGCTTTTGCAGAGCCCCTGAGAAGCCCGACAATATGATTGATTTCTACAGCTTTTCTGTTCTAGAAACAGGGAATTTCGAAATGATGTCCTTGCGTGAATCCTGGCACATTTACAACATGCCAACAAACTTGAACCGCTCTCTAGGAACAATCTCCTCAGTATACGTTCACGGCTTTTGAAACGTGTCGGAAATGGGAAGCCACCGCTTTGGCAAAACAAGACACGGAGATGCTTTTGTGACAAACACAGACATATCCTGAGAAAGTTACCAAGTCGTTCC